TATGGTTTGTGCTTGTGTTAATGAAAGAAACAGTAAGTGTCTTTGCTCACACTCCCACATTCCTTCCTGCCTTTCTAGCCTTCCTTCTGAGATCATTTCTCTTCTTCAGAAGGGCATTCATGAAAAGTCTGTTGGTCACAGCTGTTTCTCTGAAAATGTCTATATTTAAGTCCTTGGAAGATGCTCTTGAGATAGAATTTTAGGAAGACAATAACTTGCTTTTATTATGCCACCATCTTCTGGCTCCCACTGTTGCTGGTGAGAAGTCAACTCATTCTCTCATTGTTGTTCTTTGTAATATTCTTTTTTGTCTCTGACTAATTACAAGATTTATTTTTGGTCTTTGATGCTGTGTGGTTTTGCTTTGATTTGTCTAAGGTAGATATCTTTTTGTTTATCTTGTTTGGGATTTGTTGGGATTCCTGAACGCACAGATCAGTTCCTTTCAGCTCTGAAAATTTCTTACTGCTTATCTCTTAGAATGTCCCTTTGTCCATTCTGTTTTCTGTTCCTGAGGCTCCAACTGAAGTATATGTTCTTCCTTCTTGTCTTTGTTATCGGTGTTTCTCAGATTTTTTGCATGCTAACAAGTCACCCAGGAGTCTTGATTCTGAGAAGGAGCAGGCTGGGAGGAATTGCCTGCCCAGAACCCTGCTATTGAGCGGCTCAGTAGGAGAGGGTGCTGAACTATTTGTTTAACCCTAGGGAAGGGGGACACAAAAAGGAAGATTTAGCTCAAACCAACAACAGTGGTAGTTAACTTGGACCCCCCTGTTTTGTGGAGTGGCTGCAATAGCCCTGATTTGACAGTAGGTAGGCCATAGGCACCTCTCTCCCAGTTGGAGCTACTCAATCTGGAAAAAACAGAGACTGACATGTGGCCATCAGCTGATGGCCATGGAGTGCAGTGGACAGTAGTGCTCATTACTCTTCCCATGTGTTCACTATGAAATCTGAGGAGCAGCCTCAGTACCACCTCCTCACAGGACTCTAGAGACGCTGAAGAAGAGGGAGGGGAAACACACATTCACTCTTCATGTGTCTACAGTGCAGCCCAATAGCCCCTGGGAATGTAACCATGCATGCTTCCACTGATTCCTTTATTTCTCTTATTACTCATGTGTTGCTTATTTCACAATAAATAGCTACCTATTCCTCATCTCTACAGTTTCCCCACTATTTTCTCTCTAAGGGACAAGCTTCCTGAAAGATACTTTGCCCATATTACTCCCAGTTACTTAACATCCTCTGCTGAAATCAAGTGGTGTGGGGAGTAAGCTCATTCCTTCATTCACTGGCTCTTCACTTGAAACTTCCTCTTCCTGGCATGTGCAATTGGATGATGGTCCTGACAGCTGCTCCACATTGTTAGTGTACAGCTCAGGTAAGAAAGCAGAGGTGGCCAGTGCTTTGTCACCTCTAACATGTTGGTTTTGTTGTTGCTTGCATTCAGTACCCTCTTTAAATGAGGAGATATTAAGTCCAGGAATGACGTGGAAACTGAAAACTAAAAATAAAGATTGCACAGGAGGGTACACTTGAGGTTGACTAATTTCTTTCAGGAGAAAACTATTTCTTCCTGGTGTGATCACACTAAAGTGGCAGAAATACTGGTTGAGAGAAAGAACGGAGCAGTCTCTTCACTGTCAGTCCAGGCTTTGCAGCTCTCCACATCTGCTCCCATATCTGGAGTCCTCCCTGCCTGATGCCAGGGGCAGGACACACAGAAAGGAGTGAGCTGCTTCTGAGACTGATGGGTAGCTGTCATAGCACTCCAGTGGTCAGCAGTTGTGAATCCTCCCACTACTCAGCAGTCCCTGCGCCTCTCTAGAATGTACGAGAGTGATAAGCTTCCAGAAGGATTTGGGTAAAAGGATGCGAGAACGTGGAGGGAAATTGGCAGCAAGGTGAGTGGGAGATGTTGACAATTCTTAAAGGTGAATCAGAAAGCCTTCTTGAAAACTGAGCACAGAAAAAAAAATGTGTAATTTAGTTCTAGCTAAAAAAATACTCAAATAAGATCTAAGAAAAGTATTCTCTCTAAGACATGTCTGATTCAGGTAAGATATTAAGATCCTAAAAGATGTCTATGGTGTGTCAGCCACTGTGGTTGAAATGTTTAAATTGGGCATTCACTTATGTTATAAAATAAACATAACATAGTATTTAACATAGTTAGTATTTCCTGTAATTATTATATTTGGGTTCTAAGAAATGAAGCTTTTAAAATTACTACTGAATACTAAGCTCAGATAAAAACTGCCTTCCTGGCCATTATCACCTATGTCACCAAATAGTCATTTTATTTGTTTTGGATTTATAAATAATGTGATTTATAAATAATTGTCCAAGTCTCCAACCCTCTGTGCCTGAAAGAAAAGCAGTTATGAGAGCTCCTCCTAGTCGGGTCCAACAGCCACTCCCAAGATGCTGGTCTAAAGAGCAGAACATCCAGCACTGAAAGCCGTTTCATAACAAGTAGCCACCTATTCCATACCTCTACCAAACTCAAAGAGGCAGCTATAGAATAGTACTTATGTTAGTTTAACTAATCTGAAAAAGACTATCCAACTACCCACTTTGAAGAGAAACTGAGAAAATCAGAATTTCACATGAAAGAGCAAAACAACCATTGATATAAAAATCAACCAAACCAATCACAGGCGCCTGTACCCAGCACTGGACATTTCAGATCAGAAACACTTCTCTGTCAACTAAGAGCCTGAGCCAGGAGACAGTGGTTGTGAGACCACAGGCCATCCTTCATCAGTGGGCTTGTGGGTCTGAGCATCAACCTTGTGGCCCTTCACTAAGGACCAGACCACTGTGGAGTTCCCCAGCTGCAAAAAGGTCAAAGAGCCAGGTCTTTGGCGTGCTACTGCACACACACACATTTCTAAGGGCCCAAGACTGCCATGCCCCAGGTTAAATGAAGGCTATGCCATCCTAGAAACCAGGCCTCTTGGCTCCATTCTAATCTCCCATCCCCACCACTACAGGCATTCCATTAGAGGCTGTGGAACCTGCCCATTGCCAAGTGTCACTGACCCGACCTGGTCCCACATGTACCCTTCACCTTGTGCAGGACTCCTGCATGTGGGCTTGAGCCAGCCCTCCCTCAGGCTCTAACATCTGCCTCCCTCAGTCCCATGAGCTGCGGGTTAAGACAAGGCAGGATAGGCATCACTCATCTGGAGTCAGAAAGGTTCCTGGGTTCCGGAACAGCTCCTGCCAGCTGTTGGGACCTCACAGCTCCCCTGCTCTAAATTTCATGGGCAATGCCACTGACCTCCTGGGAGTACGAGACAACAACTTTTTATTTAAAGCTGCTGATGGTTCTTTTGAGAAGGCTGAGGAGGTTCACACCCTTACCTTCCACCCACCATTGAAATCTGATTAAAATAAATTCATAGAAGGGTGAAGAGTATCCCAAATAACTGAGAATGGGGTATGTGGGAAAGTCATTGGCTGGGCCAGGTATCAGCACGTGTCCTCAAAAAGGAGGCTGACGTGGCCGTGGATGGCTTCAGCAGTGGGCTTGGGTAAGCGGGTGTAGGGACTGGGGTGAACTGGGGGCAGAACTGGGCGTCACCCTACCAACTGCCTGATGTCAGAGAGCTATGCCCCCTGCCCAGCTTCTATTTAACAAGTGGAGCCCTAATAGCACATTCTGGGCAGAAGGAAGATGGCTTCCCAGTGGCGACAGGCAGATGTGATCATCACTGATTTAGTTACATCATTCTCATTTCAGGGCAAAAACCAGAAACCATTAAAATTGGTCATGGAGGTATGACGGGTAGGGAGAGATTTCTTTTCACCATGTTCTCTGCCATTTGATTCCTATGTTTGCTGATTAATAAGGTTTTCTTTTTTAAAGAGGAAAAACCATCAGCATTTCTTTTTTAGTCAATAGAACATTTCCTTCAGTGATCATGAACTGATCTCTGTATTTCCAATACATGTACTTACTTAGTATGAGTTACTTCTTAAAAACCCTCCCCTCCCCTGCCATTACATTGTACTCAGCCACCCTCCCTTCACCAGATCAATTCAGAGTGCAAGAGTTGACAGAAGACCTGAACGCAGGCTTGCCTGTCTGGCAGCACCTCCCTGTCATGAACAGAGCTAGAGGACTTGAAGCTCAGCAAACGTGCAGGACGGTATAGAGAAGAAAAAGGTTTCTTAAAATTGGCTGCAGGTTTGCTCCACCTGTCGAAAGTAGCAAAACCGACTGCCCGCCTTGGCCTTTTCTCTTTTTCTTGTTTCTCCTGTACCTTCCTCCCCAGCCCCATTTTTCCTGGCACCAGCTGGCGTCACCATCTTTACCTGCTATATCTGAACTCCAGGGAGAAAGCCCTACAGGTCTCCATTGCTGCCCCATATCATGGCCTGAGAACTGCATGTGGTCCCCTTGGCCCCCACGCCACAGGAATCCAAGGTGCTTCTCCCTGAAGTGCTCTTGGGACATCTTTGTCCTCCAGCACTGATGTTACTAACTCTAGAATGAAATCAAGACATGTGCCCTTTGATCTTCATATACACGTGAACCCTGTTTCAACTAGGGCTTTGCAATGGAAGAGTAGAGCTTCCCTGGATGTTCAAATACCCTTTCTGACACATCTCAGACCTGTTTAACAGCATTCCACCTCACTTCTTTGGTGCTTGTAAGACACTATCCCTGCTTGGGGGCGGGGAGGGCTGGGCGCCAGGGATAAGGCAGTCCCGCAGGCATCACCCACCCGAGGCCCCATGTGCAGAGGAAAGCCCCTGCTGCAGCAACAATCAAAACAATTTGACATCAGGCCAAGTCCTACACATGAGTAGAGTTAGTGCTAAGAGGTTAAAGGTTATTTAAGGTCATATGGATACGACAGAGGTCAGGGACATTGAGAGAACGGTATTAATATTATTGTGTAATATTAATATTGTAGCAGTTCACAGCAACATGCGGGTAGTAAATGGTCACAAGAGGAGAGAATGGAAACAAAGTGAAAACTCACATCTGGGTGTGGGATGGCGTACTGTCCCTGGATCGTGTAGGCCTAGAGAGAGAAACATTGTCAGCTAGGGAAGCAGCAGCCTTCCCCTGCAGAACAGGCCTTCTCCTGGGTGGGACTTTCATGTGAAGATGTCCCAAGCCCTCTGGTTACAGCTGTCCCCTCCCAAAGCACATCTCTACCTGCCTCAACCATGTAGGACAAGGGGAGTGACCTGGAGTCAAGCCTCACCACCGCCCCTTGCTGGTTGGAGCCACAAACACACACATGAGCCAGTAACTTGCACCCCACTTTCTAGAGGTTTGCAAAAGGGAAATGACTCACCCCTGAATGCTTCTGACTCCCACATCCCCCGTTTCTTAAAAGAAAATACCTAAAAGAAACCTTTAAAAGGTGACCCAAAACCAATTTTGCAAAAGCCAGGTTAAGTAATAAATGCACCCCAATTAGTCACAAGATTGATGAGTTCATATTCCAGCCTCGGAGAATGGTGTGGCTGTTCTGACTTGGGAGGCAGCACACTCCTGGCACAGCTCCCAGGGGGGCCAGAGTAGGTACTGAGACCTCATTTGGTTTCAGGACAGTGACAGGGACCAGCCACAGTGAGTGTGGGGCCCTGTAGCCCCTCCCACTGGTCCCTACACAAACCCCACTGACAAACGTGGGGCCCCGCCCACCCCACCTGCCTCAACAGTTCATTGGCTAAGATACTTCCAGAAACTTATGGCCAAAAGACAAACCACACAGAGTCAAGGGAGAGTAAAGACCAAAGACTTGCCATCAGGCCTCGGTAACATGGAATGTCCACACCAGTCCCAGGCCAGCCACACTCGAGCCTGCAGGCGCAGGATGGCTGAGGTGTGGAGGGACATGGCTTCTAGCACCTGGCCATGTAGGGCCCCCATGGCATGTCCTCAGTTCACACCTGATGTCCACCCACGCAGGTTCCTGTGAGTCTGAGGGAAATCTCAGGCCCGTCCATGAGTCACTTCCATGGACCTCAAACCGAGGGTGGTTTCCAAGGTTCTGCCAAATGGCAGGTTTTGCATCTGCCGAGTTTTCATCACAGAGCCCAGGCTGGGAGTTAAAGACCAGCCAGCCACTGCTCAGGAACCAGGAAGGAGAGGCCCTAGTTTGGCACTTCATAGGAAGTAAAGGAAGGAATCTTATCAGAGAGAACAAGTGTCCTGGGGAAACAGCAGTGGGGTGCTGCCTGTGCTTGTGCTATGAGTCCACAGAAGCTGCATCCACACCTCACCTTCAGGGATTTTGGAGGTACCACCAAGTGTGCTCCAATGATCGCCACACATACACTGACCCAAGACACACAGGGACACACCCTGCCCCCGTAGAGCCAGGCAGGGACAGGCCAGGCTTGCAGCAGCACAGCCCTGCATATCTGAGTGGAGCTGCACAGGCATCCCGACAGGGTAGGCCTTTATCCTGACATCCTAAGTTTCTGGCTCACTAGCCCTTAGCTTAGGTGGCTGTGGTCTTTAGTTCTGTTTAAACTGTGGGCACAGCTGACCATCCCCTCTGAACAGAGGTAGAGTAGAGGGAGACTGACAGATAAAAGGCTCTGTCGAAATGAAACCTGTATCGTATGTTTGTGACCAGCTGGAGAAGTGGGGTGCCTGCCAGACAAGCTATGCCTGCCCCCTGCCTCTGAGATCTCCAGGGGCATATCACAACCACAGGCAGGTCACTTGCAGGGAGAGGTATCTGCTCATGGATAAGTCAGGGTGAGATTCTCTGGCCACACATCTCTAAAGTCCAGGTTCAAAATGGATCCAGAGGAGCAGTGTGGGGTCCGATTTTGGAGGGGTCCCCTTGTTATGTTAAGCCTCATTTATACCCCCACTTCTGAGTCTGTACAGTGGCTCCTCTGCTTGGTTACCTGCAATGCAGTGGTGACTCTTATGTGACTTTGTGCCCCCACAGATGACCAGGACTAGCCATCATTTGGCCCCAGACTGTCCCAAAGGCACAGGCACTGGGTTAAGATGCTGACAGCCTGGCAATAGCCTTGGGACAGATGCCTATAATGGCAGTGACTGAGAAGTGGGCCTGCTGCCCTGCCTTACTGATAGGGAGATGAAATGGATGGCAGGGTGCTGACCACAGCCCACTCCAGCTAGGGCTTTCTGGGTTTCTATTTGTGTTAATACTAATGTGCCTCCCTTTTGAATAAAGTTTCACACTTCGCTGAGTAGTATGGTCATGACTTTGTTCCTGCCGTAGGGTCAAGACCACACAGGTAATAGCTAACCTGCTAGCTAACCACAGCTGTGGGGGAAAAGGAAACAGACTTCTGAACAGGCCCACTGTGACCCCCGCCCCTCACCACCCCGCTCTCTAAGGTTGGTAAGAAGAGGGGAACAGGTCCCCAGGTCCTGGCCTCTGGGCCTCCCTTTCCTATCCACTGCTGTTGTAGGAAGGTAGGAGGAGGAGGAGCATGAAGCCTCCTTGCAAAGGTCAGGGATGTTGGGAGACTTAGTGTGAGTCGGGCTGGGGGGAGAGAGATGCCCCAAATACGGAAGTCTGTGGGCCTGTCACATTTGTATGGGAAAGCCGGGGGAACCACGGGGGAGCCATTGTATCTATCCCTCAAGTAGTACTAAAGATGTAGAAGCACAGGCCCCATCTTTCACCTAACATGTGAATCAATCTGGAAGATAAGATTCCTCTATGTAGTAAAGAAAAAAATGGAGAAATTTGTTATTTGTCTCCTTCCTTTCTTTTTTAAAGATCAAGTAAAATGTCATGGCCGTTCTCTCCTGACCTGGATCCCATCTGGTAAGTCTCTGTCTTAACTCTCCCTTGAACGAGGACATACATCACTGCTGACTGGACACAGAGCTCCTCCAGGCACCACTTGCCAGGGGTTTTCAAAATCCATCCATCTGCTGTGGCTGAGACCCTGAAGTGGGCGGGACAAACCAAGCTACTGCTCAGATGCCTCTGAGCACAGCTCCTTCTCCTCAGCTCTCTCTAGGCCCTACTAAATTAACTGCTGGCCTTGCATAAAATTTCTGTGACCCCTGGCCTTCCAGGCCCCTTCCTGGTAGGGGAGCAAGGAAGGAAGAGGCTCCAGCCAGAACAATAGTTGTGTAAAGTGAACATTTCTTGCCTGCTGTGACCAGGAAGGATCTCCTCCGGCTGGGCATTTTTCCCTTCCTCAGAAGCACAACTCTTCCCTCATGGGCTCCTAGGAACCCAATGGTGGTAAGTTGGGAACGTGTGTTTCAGGGGAAAATGGGACTCTAGCTCTTATAGTTCTTGCTGTTTCAACTGCTAGTCATAAAAATCACGTGCAATAATCCTGGCCCTCCTATCAGAGGTTCTTAAAAACACTTGAGAAATAGATTTGAGCAGGGGCAGCCCAGGCAGAACTGGTGTGAGCATGGGTCCAGGGTCCTCCTGTGATAGGCCAAGAAGAAAATGTTTCTGGGCCCCAGACTCCAAAGGGTGCCCACCCTGGACACAGCCTAGCACAGCCTTTCTCTTGCAGCAGCTCACGTTCACCCCACCGCCCACCCCCAGTGCCTGGCAGTAGGCCGGGAGAGCTCTGTGTCCAGTGCTGAAGGGGCGGGAGACGTGCACGTGAGAAGGGAGAAAACCTGAGTGCACTAACGGGCAGCGGCGGGGGCTGCAGTAAAAGGCTGAGGTTGGCAGTGGAGGCCGCGAGCGGGTCGGCTCTTACCTGACCACCTGCAAAAATGACAGGGGTGGAGGCGGGCTTTGGGCGGTAGGGAATGGTGGCACCTTTCGGTGGGGACTAGGAAAAGGGACAGGAGAGGGAGAGAGAACGTTAGACAGCCTCACAGCGTGACAGTCTTGAGGGTGGGGAAGCCTCCTTCCTGCGCCCGCCCACGTTTGTACCCCCACCTGCCCCAACCTCCTGGGCCAGCAGTGCCGGAGGGGTTGGGGGACGCCCCAGGGTGGGAGGGCGCCTGCCTGAAACTATGCCCTCACCACCCCAGTTTCTTCCAGGGGTCGTTTCCCTCTTCCTCTTAACCACTGTCTTAATTGCCGCACATGGTACCAGTCACCCCAGCACGGCGGTGGAGAGTGTGGGTTTGAGAATGGGATATAAATGGGGTATAAAGGAAAGATGCGCCCTGTCTTTGCCTGCAGGACCTTGCGTGCTGTACAGATGGCCAGACAGCTGCCTCAGGCCTGGGCGCTCTTGCTCCACACGTGTGTTAGCCTGAGGTTGTCCTGAGAGAAACTCTCCCTTTCTCTTGGGTCCTCTGGAAGAAGCTGGGCTGTGCGTAGCTCCACTGTGGGCACTTCAGGCCCTGTGTCCCAAAGGCTTTCCTTGGCCTGTGGTGATGTCCAGTTGGCATAATCACAGCAAAGTTAGAAGCACCCAATTTCACTAATTAAAAAAGGAGGCTTTTTTAAAAATAAAAAGCTTAGAGTCCAAATTAAATATTCCACAGTCATGATGAGCTTTGCTATAATTTCCTTTGATTATTTTCTGTCCAAAAGTATAAGATTCTTATCTTCTGGTGAAAGATATTTTCAAGTACCAGAAGCCTGCCAGATTCTGATAGTGTCAACCTAAGTCCTGGGTCAGAGGCAATCAGGCCCTCCTTGTCCCTCTGGTGGGTAGTCTTCCCTTGTTGCAGAGGCCATGGGCCAGGCCTGGTGATCCAGTCAGGAGTGTCCGAGTCAGTGGCACCACCAGCCAGAGGCAGAGGGAGGGGGCCAGTAAAGCCTGTCCTATTGGCAGTTCTGGAAGCTCAGCCCACAATCTGGCCAGTTGGGTGTGACATCAGAGTGCCCCCACTCAAGACACAGCAATGTGGGGACAGCAGAGTGGGTAGCAGCTTCAACTCTGCAGCCCAGGCCACATCATGAGACCCTGAGCAGATTGTGAAATGTTGACAATGCTGGGTGACCTTGGCTATGCTGTTCAACATTGGCCATGTTGTGTGACCCTGGTTGTGCTGTGAGACCTTTCCATAAAGCAGAAGAGGTGCCAAGAGGGCCTGTGGGCTGCCTCCGGCTGGCATCTTGGGTTCAGTACTTCTGCAGTTTTGACTGAATGCCTCTAGAAACGTCTTTCTGCAAACCGGAGTTCACTATGGTTTCAGACTGGACTCAGGGCTTACTGTGGAAGAACCATGACTAAATCACGAGTGAACAAGTGATTGTTTTCACGCTTCAAGCAGAGGGCTTAGTCTGGATGCTGCCCTGTCCCTGAGCCGGGCGTCGTGTTCCTGCACCGTCAGACTCAGCCCATCACCCCTGCTCCATGGTGCCCTCTATCTCCATCAATGGCAGCATCAGCAATCCCCACACTGTGAGCTCTGCCAGGCCATCTTGCTAAGGCTGGTTTGGGATTTGTGATTCCCAGCAATTTTTGATGAAGAAGAGGCCCTCTGAGCACAGCCTCCTGTCTGGCTCCTCCTTGGGGCAGGTGCAGCTGTGTGTGTGTTTACCCAGGGCCCCACCCAACTTGCCCACACTGAGGGGCAACCCTCTCAGTGGTAATTTCAAGGGTGTGAGGCCCACCCCATAGCCCTGCCTGAAAGTCCTCTTGTCTTCTGTTCTATTTCCAGTTACTCTTCACTTAGAAATGGACCCAACTGTTTCTAGGTGTGATGAATCTTCCTCCCTAGGTGGGACAGCTGTTCCTGACCTTCAAGAGCTTTGTGACACCAACAAGAACAAGGCTTTGCCTCAGTCCAATGCTTTTCATTCATTTTAGCCACGTGTATTTCACCATTCACCAACGACATAAGCCTCCTGTCATCAGGAAGGAGACAGGGCAATTCCTGCCATGGCCTGGGGGGCACCAGAGCCCCACAGTCAATGAGGGTCAAGCCTGCTTTTGGGGGCTGTCTGACCATGACAATGGCACAGGCAACACCACCTGGAACGAGTTTTGAGGAGACCACAAGTTCTGTTCTGACCCTTGACTGGGGACATGGGCAGCTGTGTCAACACTGGAACAGTTATATCCCTCTGCCCCTCTGAGGTGCCCACTGCTGCTTAAGAGATGGGCACCTGCGAGCATTCAGAGTCCTGGGCCTATTGCCACTGCCCATGTGGGTACTGAAGAGAACTCGGGCCAGCACCAATTGTCGCCACAACCAGTGGTTGAGGAAACTTCACAAACAACATTTAGAAAAATAGTTTTTACTTTACAAAATATACTTCAGGAAAATAAAAACTATACAATTTTTTTTTTAAGAGTTGGACATGGGTTTTAATACCAAGCCAAGTACAAAAGAGCAATAAGCCCACTGCTGCCCAGCAGAGCATCAGTTCCCTTGGGAGATGGCTGTGGTGGTCACTCAAGCAGATCCCCAGGTCCAGGGACCATAGCACAGGGCGGAGGAGGGGCCAGTTTGCCTGGCGACCAGCACAGTTGCTGGAACTTTTCATTTGAGCCAGGATGACTTCATGGTAGCCTAAAGACAGGTAACTACTGATTACTTCAATGACTCTTGTTGCATTTTGGGTATCTGTTGAAATTTAAATATCAGGGTTTTTCTCCCAAAAATTTCTAAAGAGGCTTTGTCTTGCTCAGCTGTACCTTCTTTGCTTCTCCTTTGGCTTTTAATCCTTTTATTTACTTCTCTGTCTTTACAACTTGGGCATTTTTGTGATCATTTCCTAAGTTCTGTCCTTTGTACCTTGGTAAGACTCGGATGCCTTCAGCTGGCCCAGTGCAAGGAGTCTTGCCCACAGCAAGCAGCCTTTCCACCTGCAGTCCGTCTCCAGTGCAGATCCGTCTCCAGAACAGACCTGTCTTCACTGCAGACCTCTTGCACTGTGTTTAAGGCCCAATCCTTTACTAAAGGCCCCTCATATCACGACTAATAACTTGTCACCTCAGTTCCAGAACAAAAGGAAGGAGCACATGCCTCCCTATAATGTTCTTTCCACTGATAGCCCAGTGAAGATGATGGACCACCACCTACAGGTGGCAGGCACCAACGCTGCCCCTCCGTGGTGGCTGGGATGGCTTCTACTCAGGTCTCCTTGGGCCTGGATCAGTGACCTGGGTCACATTTCTGACACCTGGCCCCTACATGGCCCTGACTTCGTGAATCCTTGGGTCCCCAAAGCACCAAAGCCTTTGCTGTCACCAACACTAAGAACCCACAGCCAGCTTGGAGTGAGGACAGGCCAGCCACAAGCATAGATGCAGAGACTATACCTCCAGCATGACCACACAGATCTGCTTGACACACTGGATGATAGCGTCGGGAGTTCCTGAGATGGTCACTGCCCGCTCTGTGGAGTTGGGCAGCATGTCCCCGGCCACCTGGACCTGGGCACCTGTGGACTGGAGAAACCAGATGTTGGAAGGTGCACGGCAGAGAGAAGAGGGGACAGTGAGTGCTGAAGCAGCACTTCCTGGATTCTCTTGAGGGTCTGCCTAGGGTACAGTGCACTGGAAGCCACCCCATTACCCCCATGTTGCTCCCTCTATGGGCAACCGGGCCTCCCCCTGTGTTCCCTTGGGGAGCCCCTGTGGGCAGACTTCATCTGTCTCAGCCCACCACAGATGAGCACAGAGCTGGCGCAGGATGAGCAATGCTGCCTATGAAGTGCTTTAATTGGTGGACAGGCATTCTCAGGAGATGAAGACAGAAAGGGAGTCACTTTTTTCAAATATGTGGAATTTTATATCCTCTGTGGAGTTTTAGGTCACAGAGAAAGATGGATCCACAGGGAAATAGGCCTAAACTTTGTGGCTTATTCCATTGAAGGAATGAAGATGGGGTGGCCACCCTCATTCTGGAAGGGAAGGATCAGTCTTTCCATGAAATGAATGAACATGTGACTATAGTCTACAGCTCCTGCCAACTCCATCCCAGCTGGGACGGCTCCTTCCAGGAAACAGGGGACAAAGACCAGAGGCCCATGTATGGGATCTCTGTGCCTCAGAGCCACGTGACAGGGACAGGGTGGATTTTAGCAGCGAGCATCCACCCTGTCCCAGGAGGCCCCTTCCCATCCCCAGTCCGGACACATGCAGTGCCTGTCACCTCTGCACATGCCTCCTTACCCACCCAGTGGCTCAGCACCCACTAGGATGGGAAGGGTCCTGTTACCTCCCTGATCTCCTTGATCTTGGAGCCTCCTTTGCCAATCAGGGAACCGCACTGGCTGGCAGGGACCACCAATCTCAGCGTCACTGGGGGCTTGCTGGTGGCAGGGCTGTTGCTCATGGAGTTGATGATGTCCTGAGGATGGAGGAAAGTGTGTGTGTTGGCTGAGAGCCTGTGTGTGAATACTGGGAGTGCGGATGCAAGGCTCTCTCCAAGCCCTTGATGAGCTGGAGGGCAGAGGACACTGGCTGAAGAGACCAGCAGTGAGAAACCTTCCCTGAGAAGCTCCCTTCCATGGGGAAGAAGACCCAGTGTGAAGATGAGTGCACGCCTAGATGGAGGAGCACGCACCCTGGAAAATGGCAGAGTGTGCAGAGAGAGGACACAGAAGCCAGGCTGGGCAAGTTACAGCAGTTTGAAGACCAAGTCAGACTCAGAAGGACAAGGAGAGAGTGGTGGGAGGGGACAGAAGGGGACCCACAGAGACATGTGTCAGAGCAGCCATGGTGCTGCTATGGAGAGGGTAGGGTGCAGATCGGAGGGACCCTGGACTTAAGAGCCTGACATTTGTCCTTAGGGCCTGGCAGAGCACAGGGGGTTTGGCCAGAGAGGGTAACATTTTTAACAGAAAAATGTACTCTCCAGCTTGATCATCCTCGAATAAAAACACTCAATATATCTCTAAATTATTTTTGGCAATTTCAAAAATTTTTAAACACATAAAAACCTTAAGATGTGACTCACAGACACAACTGCACAGGCTTTCATGACTCCACAGGGGATTCACTCCTTCATCTGTGTCCCTTTACCTGTCCACATCTAAGCCAAACTACACTACCTGGGGTGGGGCCAACTGCTATAGAAAGGGCTGAGGGCCAGACATTCTGGCCAGGGCCCAAGGTCATATCGGTGAGGTGGACGTGCACAACCATGGACCTGACAAGGAAGACACTGGCCCACTACCAGGTAGACCGGAGCAGGGAGAGTCCTGGGAGGCAGAGGAGGGTATAGGAGCTGAGAGAGGTTGTCCTGAGTGGGCTGGACCATGACCTTGTCCAGATGTAGGGGAAGAGGTGCCTGAGAACCAGCTGGAACCAGTCCTGTCCAACGCTTGTCTCAAGTGGGTGAATCTTACCTCCTCAAACTTGTAGGCGATCATGGCAAAGGCCTTGAAGATGGCGTCAGTTGGGCCTGTGATGGTCACGATTCTTTCTGGGCAGTTTCCCTCTGAGATGTTGATCCGGGCACCACTCTAGAAGGGAGGTGAGCAACCCCCAGAAACTGGATTAAAGCTGCAGGGCTGGTAACAGGGTGGCTTCTCCCCCAACAACTGATACAAACATATCCAATTGGTCTTTGATAGGCTAAGCTTGGCACTAATCAGTAAATTTCTCTCCAGTACTGCCTTCTACTATGAAATTTTAATTAGAGAAAGGACCCAAGTGACCAGTAAGGATACACCATACCCATGGCAGCTCCCATGGGAACCACTGGCGTCTGTGTGTGGGGGAGAGGCCTCTATGTTCCTGTGTGCCTCTCACCTAGTGCAGTGACTGCAGTGGCCCTCCTGCCCATCAAAGACAGTATATAGCCCATGCACGCAAACTCACCTCTTCACGCATCTTTTTCACAGTTTCTCCTTTCTGCAATAAAGATTTAGACAAGAAGAAGGGTCACTTGGGGGTCCATTATAGGCAAACAGAGGGTTTGGTGCAGGGATGTGAGGTATTGGGAGCCCCTCGAACCCCAGGGTGCCCTGGGTGAGTGGGCAGCAGCTCCTCAGAAGGTAGGGCTCCTACTAGGTACTTTCCAGAGCCTGACACACTCCATGACTCACTGAGACCTCAGCACACCTGACAAGTGAGCCCACAGAGGAAGAAACCCAGGTGCTTACTCAGGGGCATGCCGCTATGAGGGTGGAAGGGCTGGGACCCGGGCATCTGATTGGGTACCACACTTGGCCGGGGCACCTGCTGCATGGAGTAGAGACAGGAATACACCTAGGTCACAGTCTTAAACACAGGTCCCCATCTTCATCACAGGCAATCCAGGACCAGGCTCACAGGGGGAAGGGGGACAGGGGACTCCCTTAAGCATATATGGAAAGAGCTGAACTTTGAGCACTGGAGGTATCCCCACTGCACAGGGACCACCTGGGATACCAGAGACCCTGAGGTGGTCAAAATGGACCAGCGGGAGGGCAGCACATCCCCCTGACCTCTCCCACAGGCATGAGCTCCAAATAGGCTCTGAATTTTCCCCATGGGAATGTTTCAACTATTTTGGAATGGAAATGCAGAGACTCGCTCCCACTCATAGAGGTAGGTGACTGCTCTGAGAAATGGAAGTAAAGGAGTTCTTACTGGGCTGTCACACCCAGGAGGAAAGTCTGGCTACCAGGGCAATGGGAGGTGGGAGGGACTGCTGTGTGACCAGCTGCGAGCCAGTGAACAGGATGCTCTCAGACCAGCTCCACAGTGGTTTAGCTTGAGAAGTAGGAGACTTGGGATTCCCTTAGGATCCTCACTGCACAGAGACACTGCTGCCCTGCAGGCACCCCCCCTCCTCCCACAGCACAGAGGTCCCAACAGAGGAATAGAGTTTGCTTAATAATTACCTTCCCGATGATACTTCCAACTTCCTGTAAGAAAGATCACAGAAAGCTGACATCATACAGCAGGAGAAAAGCACCTATGACAGACACTGCAAACCCATCTGTTCTGAGTGAGGAAGGGACATTTAGACAGTTATAAGAGGGTTTGCAGGCCCTATGTATACAGGGTCCCTCTGTGCCCATCTGACCACTGCTGACCCTGGTCCTGCTCTGACTGACTGACAGCTAAGCAGAGGAGGATGGCTAGCTGCTTTCCAGCTAAACAAGTTGAGAGGAACACCATGCACTTAAGGCCAAAAGGAAACCCTCAAAGAAAGATGAACAATAAAATCTCCCTCAATTTTGTGATGTAAAGAAAAGTTAGCACTGCCTTTGCTACTTTACTTTTTTTAGAAGTTAGAATATTCAAAGACACCCTTGAACTCGCCATCACAGTTCTAAAGCCTGGAGTCCACAATAGTTTGGACATGTAGTCCTGGCCAGGACTGCTTGTCACAGCACTTCTTTGCCCTGGATGCATAGTGCCACTGTGCATCTCACAGAGGCAGGACCAGCCTGCTTCTAGCCACAGAGAATGACATCTTTCAGAATAAAACTCATTGTTATCACACCAAAGTCCTCAGTAATTACGACTTTTCCACTAGGCCATGGGGAACACATGTGCACTGGGAACTGGGACAGCAAAGGGCAACTGGGCATAAGGTAGTGACCCCTCTGGCAGTTGGTCAGGGACTTCACATCCCATGGGCACAGTCTAGTGCTTATTGTGGCCACTGAAGCTGCAGATAAGGGCCATATAACTGACCCCACAGACTGTCTACTATGGTGCATACCGAGCTTCCATACCCTTGACCAAATGCCACCCCTGGCTGAGGGAAGGAAAGGCTGGTGATCATCTCTCTATTACAGAAAGGGATGCTCTGGGTGTGAGCACTCCCCTTTCTAAAAATCTAGGGTGGGCAGATCCACAGACACAAGACCAGAGCCTCTGCCAGCCCTGGCAGGAGGCCATGTGCATCCTGGGAATCAGGCTTCTCATAGCACAGATGTGGGACAGTGGAGGAGCGAGGATGGACTCTGTGCCATTGGACTGGAATTAGGGGTGTCAACTACTGGCACCCAATCTAGAGAAATCAATATGTAAATAAATATGCAAATGTATATATGCATGTTCGTGTGATAATACAAAATCCACACGTGTACATACAGGCACACATACATGCACAGGCACACATGTATGTTTCCCATCTTCATCTGGGACCCACAATAGAACAAAGCCAATGATCACCCCACATGCCCCAATAAAAGCCTCAAACACCATCCTCCCCTCAAAGAAGTTAGGCTTCTTTGGAGGAATGACTGACTCCAGGACTGTAGCAGAGAAAGCACAAGATAAGTACTGAGTAGAGTTTTGGGTCAGAAGCCAGGCAGTACTGTAAAAATGATGGGCCATGTCAAAGGGACATAAGAGCCAGCCTGGAGGGGCCCCCACTAGCCAAGTCAGGGACAATATGAGCATCAAAATAAATAATGAGAGAATGGAGAATAATTGGATAAAACAGCAAATCCCAAGTCAGTCTATGCAGATGTGAATGAGTGAGTAGATGAATGAACGCACGGAAAGCCTGCTGACAAATGGGGTACTTACATAGCATCTACATACCCCCAACAATGACTGCCTAAGTACAGTGGGAGAAAAGCAGTTCTAGGCGGAGACACCTGGCAGGTATTTCCCTACTTAGGTGATCAGTAATGGGACACCCTGAAATCTGGACCACCTGGAAGGAAAGCTTCTGTGACTTTCCTGCCAACAGTGAGGAAATGTCAGTAAAAGCCAATGTGAACCAATTCTACAAAAAAAAAGACAGGAACTTTCAAAGGTGAAAGGCCGAGGAAGACCAGGACAATTCCTCCAGGTTGAAAGAGGCTGGAGATGTGACAAGAACATGGAGTAGGAGGCCACCTTGGAGTGCCCTATTGGGAAGGGCAGTGCAGGGATGACTGGGACTGTGAAAGAAGTCTGTGGTCAGGTGGCCAGAATGGATCAGCACCCTGTCCTGACTTGATGGGCGCAGGTGGTAATGGAGGAAAATGCCTAAGCATGTAAAAAATCCGTTAATGTATTCGGCAATAATGCATCAGATGTGCAACTAACTAGTTTCAAATGGTTCTGGGAAAAGTGTACTTTAGGTTGGATTGTTCCTGCTCTGTAAGTCTGAGGTTACTTAAAATTTTAGAATGCATAATACAATACAGAGTCCCCAGCAGTGGACAGGACCTCCCTTCCTCCCAGCTGGTCTGATATCTTCTTAGGAGAGTGACAAAGGTAGGGCTCACGCTTCTGTACCTTTCCATGCATTAGCAAGCGGATCGTCAGGGTCACGTTCAGGCCACCTTCTGAGACCTTGGACTCCATCTTTCTCCCAAAATGCAGCTGGGGGTGGTAGGTTAAGGTGCCAAGGGTGCTGTGAGGAAGGACAGATGGGGCCCAGATGGTGTCACCTGGAAAGAGAATGCACAGATGCTGCTGAGAACATCAATGGCCAATGCATTGGGGGATGTCCTGGCCTCTGGGGGAGTAGGAGGCTGCTGGTGAGAGGCAGAGGCTCAGGAAAAGGCTTCCTTGGCATCCACGGAATGACCTGCTGGGGTACAGGGCAGTGGGGGGATGGGGTTCAGGAAAGTCCTCCAGGGACAGATCCAGCCCTACTGCTCAGTAACTACATGACAAGTGCAGGTCATCAAGCCTTCTGGCCTAGGTTTTCATTTTTATGAAACAAAGGAACAGCTCTCTTAGCTGCCAAAGGGGGACTCCCCCAGTAAACCCTGGGGCCCTTGTGTGCATCAAGCGAGTGCCCACTGTGCTATGAGGTTAATGCTGCCCGTTCCTTTCACATTGGTGCCAGGATCCCCACCCTCCTGCTGTGACTCCTTTTACCCTTAAAAAGTCAGGAAATTTCAGGTATTGCTGTGCCCTTGACATCCAGAGTCGAGATACCTTGGTAATCCTCACTTCTGAAGTGGATTTAGTCTCTATCAACTAAACTGCCAAAGAGCTGAGCATCCCTGTAAGTTTTCAGAAAATGGTTTGTGCCCCCATACCATTGATCTGTTTGTAGTTTACTTTCTGCAGACAGCTGGCTCGGAGCTCAGCCCACCAGACAAAGTGAAGGCTCTGCTTTGTGAGTTACCAGCAGGGAGTGATTGTGGGCAGTGAACCTCGAGGACTGAAGGAGGAACTCAGTGTGCCACAAGGCTGCCTGCTGGTGCTCAGGTCCTCAGGACTTAGCCTGAGTGGGTGAAACATGGAGGACAGTGTCCAAGCAGTGACCTGAGCCCCCCACCCAGGTCTGCATGGGGGTCCTGGCTACAGTCCCTTCTTGGGGAGGATCCAGGTCCTCTTCTGGGCTGGATTCTGAGGATAGGTCACCTTCACCCCGGTGTATGGAGCAGCTGCACGAAGACAAGCACCTGTGAGGATTTGAGCAAGGGCAGGTGAGGGCTGGAGTGAACAGTAGGGAGGGGCTCTCAGTTCAGACAGGGAGGGGTCTAGGAGAGGCAGGCATGCACAGCCCAGATACTGGGGGGTGGCTAGGGTGAACCTGACCCTGGCTCTAGGGCTGGGAGTTGCTACTTCACTCTGAGGGCAGGGGTCATAAGTGAGTGTAGCCTTTCTTGGAGTTTGAGCAGGCAGTCTGGGCTCCTGTCAGTGCAGTGCAAAAATGGGGTGGGTGCTGGAGAGCCACCTGCCTGGATTCACAGGAACATGGCAGGGGAATGCAGGGGTGTGTGTACAGGGATATTGCATGGTGAATGGGTTAGGGGACATGTGGGTGCAGAGACATTACAGGGTCATGGGGGTCCCACAGAAAGGAGGAGAAATGAGGGCACAAGTGGCAACAATAGGAGCAGGGGACCCACTGGTCTTGGATAGAGTGCGGGGGGCAAGTGGGGGCACAGGGGATGGGGGTTATAGGGATCTGACAGCAGAGTGTCTTTATTAGTCATAAAGGGAGGAAGGGCTGGCTGGGGGAACTGTGCAGATGATGCCCAGGAGAGACCCTGAGCCAACCCTGCAGGGCAGCATGACAGGCCTTCAGGAGCCACCACCTGCCCAGGTACATACCTGACAGTGTGCCAGGACAATGAAGGATGAGGCTTTGGAAGCCCAAGAGGAACCAAGGCTGGATCTACAAGAGTTCCTCATATACTACACCTCACATTTAGTCCCTTCGTTAATGACATCACATTGCCTATGCTGCTGCCTAAATCTTTCAGGAACAAAAGTCCTGTGAAACCTGATTGTGTCCTCATACACCCACTAGGCTGTCTGGACATTGGTCCCATGATATAACTTGTAAAGATGAGAGGCTCTGTCCACACACAGGAGAGATTACAGGCTAAAAAGGTAAGTTTTTCTTTTAACCGTACAGGGTTTTTTGGGGGCAAAAAGTTGTTTTTTCTTCATCAAGATATTTCTGCTAAAAAACATGCTAAAAGGAAAAGACAAAATAAAGCACTTATGTGATGTGTAACGGACACCTGCAAAGAGCAGTCACGGGTGATTGATGGGCATAGGCAAAATTGACAGCTACTAAAGCATTTCTGCAATAATAAGCACTCACATTTAAAAATGTATTTATAGGTAGCTTCAACACACTTGAACTATTAGTTCTAATTATTTGTAGTTAGAACATTTAAATAGCAAAGATTTTAACATGAAGGTATAACACACAGCAAAAGAATTTTTAAAATCTTCCTTATGAATGTCCCCTATCCTCAGTCCAGCACAGTAGTCACTAGCCACATGTGGTGGTTTATATTTAACATAAAAAGTTCACCAGCCACATTGATGTGTTGAGCAAACAGCCCCATGTGGCTGCTGGCTGCAGATGGAGGAGCACAGACAGAGAGCGTTTCTGTCCCCCAGTTTTGGTGAAAGGCTCAGGTCACGTGAGCACTTGGAGGATAGACCCTGGAAAGGAGAAGATGCTCTAGCTCCAGTGACTGATAATGACACCAGATACAAGCACTCCTTCCAACAGAGGCACCCTGCAGCAAGCTCTTTCGACTCCAATATGTAGAAGGGCAAATTCCCAGCACCCATACACTGGATTGCAAGGTGCCAGGCTGGGGAGCCTGCCTCATTTTAATTAGAAACATCTCCTGTGTCAGGGGGACAGGAGGGCCCTGCAGCCTTCTGTTACGTAAATGTTTCAGCCCATGGTGAAGAAAGTGGGTCAGCGAGTGCCAGGGGTGCTGCAGGCTCCAGGCTGTCAACTACCATCAGTCACACAGGTCAGTGAGCTGCTGCAGAGGCCAGTGCCTTCCTTTATCATACACTGAGAGTGTGTGTAATAGTGCTCTCTGCAGACCGGTGAGAACAAGGAACAGTCCAGGGTAGTGGTTAAGGTCACCTGTGACACAGTACCCTTGACCCTGAAGAATTCACCCTGTGCCAGCTGGCTAGTGGAGTCAGACAGAGAGTGGCATGGGGCAAGTGACTTCTCCAGGATAGTGGGCCTCTCACTGGGTATGGGTCATCCTCTGGTTGTTCAGCCAGGCCCCAGGACACCTGCTCATCCTAGGCAACAAGGGTGCCTGGGGCCTTGCTCCCACTTCAGGGGCTGCCCTGCCCAGGAACTCAGAGGAGCGAGTCGGGGAATCAAGGGGAAGTAGCCGCCAGACTCCTGTGGTTACAGTCACCTAAAAAAGTCAGAAGGGTGTTCCACCAATTGGCAAATTTCTCTTGCCAGCTTTCTTTTGGTTAGTGTTAGCATGGTTTATCTTCCTCATCTTTTATTTTAAACTTCTTTGTGTCTGTGTACTTGAGTTTCTTGAAGGCAGCATACACTTAGACCTGCTTTTCTTTTTGTCTTATTTGATAATCTCTACCTTTTAATGGGCCACTTAGACCATTTGCAGTAGCTGCTGATATGGCTGAGTTTAAATTGATCATTCTATTTGTTGTCTATTTTTACCATCTGTTCTTTGTTCCCCATCTCTATTGTTTATTTTCTCTGCCATCTTTGGATTAAATGTATGTATTTTATGATGCCAGTTTACCTCCTTTGTCCAATTATTAGTTACAACTCTTTGTTTCGTTATCACAGTGGTTGCTTTAGGGTTTAACTCATTACAGGACAACACCTAGTGGTCTTGGCCACTTTACATGGAGTATAAGAGCCTCACAGCATTCTGTTTCCACTTATGCTCTCACTGGCACTGTCACTACCATACACTTAAGTTCTACCTATGTCATAAACTCTACAGTACATTATTATTTTTGATTTAAACAATGATCTTCTAAAGGGATTTAGAGAAGAAGGAAATGTCTCATTCTTACCCATTCTTCACTCCTTAGCGTGGATTCAAATGCCCACCTGCTGCCATTTTTCCTCTACCTGAAAAATTTTCCTTGATATTTTTGGTAGTGCAAGTCTCCTGGTGATGAATTCTCTCAGCTTTTATTTGTCTGAAGCGTCTTTATTTCACCTTTGGTTTTGGAGGTCATTTCACCTGGCAGAGAATTCTAGGTCAACTGTGGTCGGGGTTTTTTTGTTTTTGTTTTTTTGTTTGTTTGTTTGTTTGTCCTGAAGAGATGCTGTCCCCACCTCCTCACTCATCTTGTTCCCAGAGAGGAATCCGCCAAGTCTCACCTCTGCTCCTCTGTGTCACATGTCTTTTCCCTAGTATAGAAGTTGTTTTCTTAATCACTGGCTTTGAGCAATTTAGTTATGATGTGCCTTGTTCTAGTTTTCTAGTCATTTTTTGTTCTTGGGGCTTCCTTGAGCTTCTTGGACCTGTGCCTTACAGTTTTCATCCAATTTAGAAAATTGTGGCCATTGGTTTTACAAATATATTTTCTGCCCTGCCACTCCTCCACTTTCAAGGCCTCTGAAGATACATACATTGGTTGCTTAAAGTTGTGTCACAGCTCACTGATGCTCTGTTCATTTTCTCCTACCTTTTTTCTCTGTGTCTTTAAGCTTACTAACTGTTACTCTGTGATGCCCAATCTGTGGTTCCTACCACCAGGTATACTGTTTATCTCAGACCACAGTTCTCACCTCTAGGAATCGGTCTGGATCCTTTTCTTTTTCTTCTATCTTCCATGTCTCCAATTGTTTAGTTATAATAACAATTTCAGCATATTGTCATCCTTTTTGAGTCTAGGTCAAGATAGCAAACAGCGAATTGGGAGAGCACAAGCCACTGACAGCTTTGACAAGGGCACTTTCTTTATGGGTCACAGAGTGAGTATTCAGCAGTACTTGGCTCAGACCTGGTCTCCCAGGGTCAGCACACCAGCACTTTCACAAGCCAAGATGAAGGAGACCTGACGACTGGGTTGGTTCTTCAAGTCTGTTGTTCTTTCCAATCCTGTGGGCTGGCACATGGCTGTAGTGCAATGGCAGACAAGGTACCCTATTCCATTTAGTTTGATCTATAATGAGATGATCCAAACCTGCAAACCCCTGGTTTCCTGTGTTGAGTATTTC